AACTTATATTGGAGATATTGGCAATTAATAATGAAATGTATAATTAAATTTGAATGTTCAACAAAGCCAATATATAATAATTTGTTTTAATCACTAGCGCTTTCAGAAAATAGGTTTCCATCGTCAGGCTGTGTTTACACTAGTACAAAAAGTAAATAGTTAGGTACTTAATAATAAATTAATTTTAAACAAAGTAAAAACAGACGATGTAAACGATATCGGAAAAATATAGCCTATAAAAAATAATGTTAGAAAAAATCATCTTTTGAATTTTGGATGAATTACAGTGTTGTTCTTGATGTAATTATTTTCAGTACTAATTCCGAGTTTATAATTGGGCCGTCCGTTTTCATTTTTAACAAATAATTTTGGTCTGTTTTTTTCTATAAAATAAGATCCCCACACATTAAGATGTTTAGTTTTATAATTTGTTTTAAAAGTTTAAGGTTTTCCAAATTGAATATCTGTCCTGTATTAATACTGTGGCTAGCAAGGGCTGACTTTTCAGGTCTTCTGTATTGTGCATGAGCTTGGTGTTCTTTGAATCTGGTTTGGATTTTTCTTTTTGTTTGGCTTATATATTTCATATTACAATCATTACAATTAACTTAATAAATTCCAGACATGTCAAATTTTGATGGTTTTTCTTTAGGATTGCCTAATTTTGATTTCAGCAGGTTAAGGCATAAGGTATGAAAATGCTTTTAATGTTATTGCAAATTTTGAGTTGTAATTTATACTAATCCAATTCTTTACTATTTTCTTTTCTGAAATGTGGGTATTTCTCTGATTTTTCTGTCCTTTTAATTTTGCTTTTCTTAACATGTTGTCTATTAACCCTTTCGATGCTAGAATATTTTTTTGTAATTTTCCGAAAAGTGCTCTAGAGTTATTTACTTGTTTTGTCCGAAAAGGGCTAGGCTTACCACGGAGGCGAAGTCTAGTGTGCGAGAAAAAAAAATCGGTAAAAATAAAATTTTTAATCTCAAAAGTGCTAAGGAACGATATATTGGGCCTCGATCGTAGGAGGAATCGAAAGAAACCATTGCTGTTTCGAAACTACAACCGAGATGCTTATTTAAACTCACATGATCGAAAGTCGTGCGGGTACGATACGATATATCGTCGCTTAAAGCTTTTCGGATGAAACGCGAACAACGATAGAGTAGAAAGCATGGTTTTGTTCTTTCTAACTTAAGTTTGAGTTTTTTTTGCATGGTTTGCACTGTATGATATGCTACTTATTTTATAATCTAAGGATTTTGACGATTGCAGTACATGTTATATGATGTTAAAAGCAATCAAGACATTTCATTTCATTTCATATATCGTTCCATAGCACTTTTTGGGAAAAAGACGCACAACGATATATCGTTGCATACCACTGAAAGGGTTAATTTTGTAGTGTATCCATTAAAAGTCGCTACAAATACATTTACAGTCTACATTAACTACCAGCTAATTATAAAATGAAACTGTTCTAAACTAAACCTAACATTAACCAAACTGCAGTCCATGTTATGTGAGTAAATGTAGGACGTAAACTTAAGTGCAGCCTTTTAGTATAAATCCCGGGCATTTTAAGGTTTTGCCAAAAATGCCCCCCGGACGTTTTTTATGAACCCAAAAAGAGGACGTGTTAGGGGAAATGAAGACATCTGGGATCCCTAGGGCTTGATTTTTGGGAGGCTCAACAGTTTGTTTGGGGGCTTGTAATAAAAGGGAAGCTTGTAAGTTTTTACACCAACAACAGACAACAATAGATAGTTAGCTTGTTTGGTTCTGAAATTCTAGGGTGGTCTGAGCTCAATTAAGTTACAATAGGCTACTTAAATAATTCTCGGGTACAGTTTCTTAACTGGGCTACGCTAATTAGAAACTGTACCCATTCTGTAAAAGACTAGCGAAATAGTTCACTAAACAGATGTGGGCTCATATGGACACAATTTTAAATTAAATATACTGACCTGAAAACTGACATAAAACGTCGCCCCAGGATTAACATACTGAAAATAGCAATCCTCTTTTCCAGGATCTATGTGGACTTTATAGTCCATTGCAACCGCCGGTAGATTTTCAAACCAATTAACAGCATTCTGTTGCCCAGTAGTATCAAAAACCATCAGAAACAAGATTACAATGAAATTGAGAAATGATAATCCACAATATAATCCCATAATCAAACCATATGCGAACTATCTTGGCAAACAACAATAATTTAATGGTTATGTTATGGAAGGAAAGGAGAAACGAAACAGAGAGAGAAGAGAAAGTCCTTCCCGCTGACTTGGCCGTCGTCGTCGTCTGCAACTTGTTGACCTGTACGTCATGTAACATAAACATGTTTAACATGTAAGCATATTTTTGAGTATTGTGGCCACGGCCACCTAGGCGGCCGTGATTGTGGCACTGGCACATATGACTATTGTCAAAACTGCATACACCATTACAGTATTTATCGTCGAAGAATAAATCTTCAAATTATGTTATACAACAACAGCTAAAATCTTTGGTTGAATTGTTGTAAAGTGCCATCAACTATTTAAACAAAATGTAAAAAAAACTGTTTTGAAAGGAAATTAAATTGTGTTTATTGCCACTAAACTCAATCCAGGCAATTGACAAGCGTCACAATCATTTAAGTCTAAAAAATCAACTTGTTACATTGTTTTCACTAACAAAGTTTTTAGTTACATACATACATACATGATAGGTACATGATCTCTCCGTCCGGCGTAATTTTTATTTCAATTGGAGTTCCGGCATATAGGGAGATTCAGTCTTTCGATTGACGATTTGCTTGAGAGAAGACCATTACCGCAACGATACGGATACGGTGAGCAGCGTACATCGGCATCGGTGGCGTAGTGGATAGCGTACCGTACTGATCTAAAGGTACCAAGTTCGAATCCCAGTCATGGCAATAAATTTTTGTCTAAACTTTTTCACCATCAGCAGGTTTGGTTAGTTTGGTTAGGTTATGATAGTTTAATTTTATAATTAAAACATTATAAAAATGAATTAGAGCCATTTAATTATAGTTGTTTTTTATAAACATAACTATTTTTTTTCGATTAGTAAACCTTCATTGGATTTTTTCATCAGCAACTTTGGTTGGTTTGGTTAGGTTATGATAGTTTAATTTTATAATTGAAAAGTTATAAAATTGAATTTGAGGCATTTATAATTTAATTTAAGAACAGATCTATTTTTTTAGATTAGTAAACCTTCATTATAGCCAATCAGAAGCCTCCAAATGACTGCATATGCCCTATATGCCGGAACACCAATTGAAAAAAAAATTACGCCTACGTCCGTAGTCCTTTGCCATAAGGAATTGGACAGGTCAGGGTTAATACAAAGAATAACCAAACTTTAATACTAGTCACCGTTAAGGTAACACTGTCTATGTCCTGTAAACTTAACTCCACTAGATATTTGTTCAATTCTGATTTGAATTTTGTTAAGCTCTGAATTTCAAGTAATTTTTTCGGTAGGGCCTGGTACAATTTCATTGCCATGAAATCTGGTTTGTGTTCGAATTTTGTGAGTTTATGTTGGACTGCATGTGTGCCCTTTGTTCGGGTGTTGTAAGTGTGATTTGTAAAAGTTGGTTTAATGTTCTGTGATTTTATTTAGCAAACTGATTCATAGATAAAAAGTGAAGGGACTGTGAGAAAGCCAAGTTCTTTAAAAATATTTTTGCAGCTGGTCCGAGGCGGCATACACAAAGATTGCTCTTACTGCCATGTTCTGCCAAACAAAGATCTGATCAATATTCTTCTTCACAGCTCCCCATAGGATGATTGAATACAAAATGTGTTGTTCTATTAGGCCAAAATACACAAGTTTAGAGAGAGGCGTTTTTTTTTTCATTTTTTTTTAAATTTTGATTTTTAATGGGGATTCTCCCATAAAAACCCATGAAAAACAGGAAAAATCGGATTTTCTCGAAAATGGATTTTGATAAAAATTTGGTATGTTATAGTCCTTTATATTCTGAACGAAATGGTACAGATCCCATTTCTGTAAAAATTACGGTTCAAAAGTTATGGTAAATTATGTTATTTTCCCATAAAAACCACATAAAATAACGAAAAATAGGATTTTAGAAAAAATCCTGTTTTAATTTAACATAGTACGATCTGTTGGCCCGTCATACGTACAGGAATTGAGTATATTTTTTCATTTAAAAAAAAAATTTTTTTTAATGGGAATTTTCCCATAAAACCCCATAAAATAACGGAAAAATAGGATTTTCCCAAAAACGGCCGGAACGATTTTAATAAAAATTTGGTATGTTATAGTCCTTTATATTCTGAACAAAATGGTACAAATCCCATTTCTGTAAAAATTACGGTTCAAAAGTTATAATAATAATATCATTTTCCCATAAAAACGCCATAAAATAACGGAAAAATCGGATTTTCACAAAAATGGCCCGAACGATTTTGATAAAAATTTTGTATGTTATAATCCTTTAAATTATGATCAAAATTGTACTAATCCCATTTCCGTATATTTACTCACACCGCTTACACATGATAAAGGTTGTTGACAAACTTATGGGAGAAAGTATGTGTCAGAATGCTGATACCGTTTATTTATTTGTGCATCCCAGCTCAATTTATCATTCAAGCTCACTCCAAAAAAGTTAGCAGTTTTTGAAATTTGAATTTGATCCTCTCCAATTAATAGGTTTGGAGTCCTGTTATTTTTTGAATTTTGTCTTTTTGCAGTTTGGATACACATGTATCCTGTTTTTTGTGAATTTAATTTGAGTTTGTTTGATGAAAAAAAGTTTCAGGCAAATTTTACATGATCATGTATAAAGTTTACCAACTGACAAGATTTTGGAGGTAATAAACAATCTTGAAACTTATATTTGTTTATAAAGCTACATGCCAAATAGCCAAGCCTGTTTAAGTGCAAACAAGAATTATAAGTAAGAATAAGAAAACAAAGTTGCGGCTTTTATTTTGTTTTGTGTTTAGGTTTGGTTTGGTTTGGACTTAGACTTTGGTTATTTGTGCCTTGTTTATGTTTGTATTGTCGTTTTATGTAAAGAAATAAAGCCAGCCCGGGCCCACAGTGGCAATAACTAATTTATGTTAATGCTGTTCCTTTAATTCTATTGTCTTTAAAATGCCTACTTGGAATCAGATCCAATCTCAATTAAGGAGCCCAAATAACCCGGTTGTGTTTTTTGACATTAGTGTCGGGGCAACGGTAAGAATATGAAATTTCTGTTTATGGGGAAGTTATACAAAGCTAGGTTATTAGTCATAGGCCTAGTAGTGCCTAGGATAGTTTAGCATATAATCAAATCAAATCATTTTATTCAGCTAAAATAGACAATAGATTTAGGATCAGCCAAGTCATGGCACAACATCCAGTATAAGTATGATAGAGTTTTTCTTCTTAGTCTAATAGTCTATCTACAGTAAGGTATCTTATTTACGGCACACTAACTTACAATGTTTAAACGAACTTACACAAGGATTTAGTCCAGAAAACAGCTGTTTGCCGTCAGCTTAATGAAATGTGGTTTCATTAGGGCCTACCTCTTACTGTACTGTAATGAGCGTTTTCCGGAGCTGATTATATGGCTGCACTTTACTTTAGGTCCTACACTCATTCGAATGAAAATATCGATCGATATATCGATTATTCGATAAGTTATATCGTTTGGTTAGTTAGGTAAGGTTAACCTAACCTAACTAATCAAACGATATATCGAATGAAGCAATCGAATAATCGATATTTTCATTCGAATGAGTGTAGGACCTAAAGTAAAGTGCAGCCGATTATATTTAGCAAATAGTGGTTGTAAACAAAAACATAACCTCCCTTAGAGGTTATGAGTAGGTAGTGATTGTAGTCCTTCAGCTTAGTTGGCGGGTATAAAGGATATTTTATTGTAAAGTTAACTTAAGTTAGCTTAGAGTAGAATGGCGTAAAATATTGTACCGGTACGTCACTCGTCCAAAATGTGTTTACCGAACTCGTATGGTAGGCCTAATCCCACACTCGACTTCGTTCTCGCACGGGAACGACCACATTCGTCCGTTTAAATTCCCATTTTTGGACTAGTACCGTAACTACAGCTATGGCTAGACAACTAATAAGTAATTTAGATATCTCACAATCGCCATCTATACGCCAGGGTTTACAGCAGTCCAGTTCCTGTGGTTCAAGAGCTCTTGGATGCTGTAACATGAGATACGGTACCTATTAATTAACTGTCTTTTTATGCATCTTTTAAATTTTGAATGTCGTTTTAGCTATGATTTTCGTGAGCTGACCAAAACCACTTTGGAGCACACTACGTATTTAAAATTTATCCTGTGTGAATGTAATATGGGACCTCAAACTATTGGAAAAATGTCCTTAAAGATGATATTTTTAAATTTTAACCCCCTCCAAATTCAAAATGGTAGAGGAAAAAATAATATAACTTGGATGACTTACCTAATAAAATGTCATTTAGAGCGTGTTTTTATTGTGTCTCATTAGTGAGATTTGAACGGTGTTTTAGAATTTGATCCCCCACTACTTCCCCCCAAGTTACGTATATCTACGGTAATAGCTTACTTCCCTATAGGGAAATTCGCTAAAAACCCCCCTCTTAAAAAGCTTGTCAATGACTAAACGTCAATGACGATACAGTCTATTCCACTTATACTAATACTGGTGCAAACCTAGTCCCCGAGGTTTTACTACATAATATATGGTAACATTTTTTGCTAACTGTTATGGTAGCTTAAATAGTTACTGTATGAAATTATTTGGATGAGTTAGGTAGGTACTCTTGATGGTCTATAGGCTACATTTAATTTTGGGACTTTAAAGTTATAGTCTATAGTTACCTTCTTGTTGGTTTCATTTTAACTCAGTACATGAGTATGAAATAAATTTTGACCCATTGTGTCTGAGATTTTATAGTTTATAATGCTCTTTTCAGGAAATTGGAAGAATGGTAATGGAGTTATTTGCAGATGTGGTACCAAAAACAAGTGAGAACTTCAGACAGTTTTGTACAGGGGAATACCGCAAAGATGGAGTCCCTCTTGGTTTCAAAGGAGCGACTTTCCACAGAGTAATAAAGGATTTCATGATCCAAGGTGGAGATTTTGTAAATGTAAGTTTTAAATGTTTGTCTCCCTTTTTAAAAATAGGGATGACTTTGGAAATTTTTACAAGGTCTGAGAAGTACCCATGCTGCAAACAAATGTTAAAAATGAAGGCCAGGGTATCTTTGATGATACTGTATGAATAGTGTTTTTTATGATATAATTTCACAACCAATAATAATCCATGCTTCGAGAATTTGAGAATTTTGAAACTATAACTCCTACTAACTTTAATAAAGAAATATTTCAATGTTGATTGTAATTTGAAATAATTAGTCTTTTACTCTTTTGTAATGGTCTAATATACGTAATGACTCACTTTCTACTTATATTATGAAATTTATTATTGCTATAAAACATTGACAGGATTGTAGTTTTTTATTTATGATGTGGTTTTGTGAAGTTATCATAAGTTTTAAGTTTAATTAAAGTTTAATTCATAGCCTTCTCTCGTACCTTACTTTTCTTGAGTTTTATACTTACTTTTAGTCTTTTTAGAACTAGTTTAGTACACAATTATTTTGCACAAATTGTTCAAATATTACTGCTTTATATTATCTAGGTTTTAAATAAAATAACCATTATTGTTTTGCAACAAAAAAACTAATTTAATCTAATAAAAAACAGTAAATTCATTGCTGTTAAATACATTTAATTCTTCTAAAACAATCACATTAAGTTTAAGGGTTATAATAAGCGTACAATATCATTGCATTAAATGACGGCGTGGCAGGTATGACAGAACTGTATTGGAGGAAGCTCTGTAGCCGGACCACACGGCTGCTACACAGTGTGCAATCCATTGTGTTTATATATCGATGGTTGGGTCAGGCACATTACACTTTAACAATAAATATTAGAATGGTTTAACCCTCTATCTGGCGCTGGTCGATTTTCGACCACTAAAACGTGAGTTCTCAGTGGCGCTGGTCGATTATAGACCAAGATGACATGGGTCGGGTTTTTCTATTGTTAAAATATGAAAACAGTTTTAAAACGCAATAAATCTTATACCATTAGAAAGATGAGATTCTGAGGATTCATTTTCATGCATAAAACATTATTGAGTGAGTATTATGTAGCGATAAACGGTAGTTTGAAAAACTAGAGAGTTCAAAATAGATATTGGTGGTGGAAGGTTTTGGTCACCTGACTACAAAAACAGCTGTTTTTGGTGATTGTCAATTAAATTGTATACAATATTATTACATATTCTGAAACTACAATAAATTCCCTACAATTCCCTGTGGTTCTATAAGGTTGATTGTAAAAATTTTATTTATTTTTAAAAATGTCATAAATATTATGTTTTTGTAAACAAATCTTCAAAATTTTACATTCCGACGTAAATTTCTCCGACATTTTAGAATTCAACTAAATATAACTATATATTTTCAGAAAGATCTTTTTAATACCTATTGTACAGTATCATTTCATTTTTTGTTGATGCATTATATTATTTCCTACGTGACAAAAAGAAATTTGGTAGTTTTTCAAAAAAGAAAATATGTATGAAGAATTTATTTTTTAATAATTTTATTTTTATGAGTATTTAAAAAACATTGATATTTCTACGTAGGGAATCATATTTCACACAAACTTTACATTTAGATAAAATGTGTAAAAAAATTATATTGTGGTTTTCTTGTGGGTTGCTTTTGAAATTTCTAATTTGCATAATCCAAAAATTTGCAAACCTTTTGCTACTACGCCTAAACGCATTGCTAGGAAAAGAATATTTTTATATTATTATATTCTAAATTCATCACTGAAATAGAAAATATATATATGTGTGTACTTATATTCACAAATAAATGTTCCGTGGCAAAATATATGATACCACTACAAAAGCGCCAAAATATACCCGCCACTGGGGAATAAAATGACCGCCAGATCTAGGGTTAAAAACATGAAATGATCAAAAATCTTTTTCTCGTCCTACTATAGTTATCTATCTATCTGTCTATATATACATTTTCCTGTAGATGTGCACAATCCCTTTAAAAACTAAATTACGCTCAAATATAAGCACAAAAAATGAATTTGAAATTTCAAAAAAATTAACATGGGCTTTATGGGTTGCCATGTTGGTGACGAAATAACAACGAAATATAAACAGAAAATCAAAACAAATGGAAGAAATTACAATCACATGTTTTATTTACAGGGTGGGGTGAAAATGGAGAAGCCTGTACCATAGATAAAACATACTCCCTTGTGTTGCTTAGTCTATGCGTGTACCTTTGACTTACAACTAGATATTCCATCCCTATGTTAAAGTTGTCACAAGTTTTTAATTAAATTCGTCGTAGTTGATGTTGGACACCAACTGATTGCGCTGATCTAAATGACTAATTTCTCTCGAATACACAATGATTTTTACCAAGTCAAACTTATGGAATGACTTATTAAGAGCTATAGCAACTGTTTTGTCAGCAACAAAAAATAAGATAGAAAATATAATTTTAGACACACATACTGTGACTGGCTCACACAACTGCATGTTTTTTTAATAAAAAAATTGCGACAACTGGTCCATATAGATGGAATGTCTACTTCAGTATCCAATAGTCAATGAGTGTACATTAAATATTTTTGGTCGAGTTTTCGACCACTGGACGACCACTAGTTCACATTTAATAGCTAAGATATGTCTTAAGGTCAGGTAATGAATGATTGTTGACTGCAGGGTGATGGAACCGGAGTAATGAGTATTTATGGAGGGGGAACTTACACAGACGAGAACTTCATCATGAAACACGATGCTCCAGGTCTACTCTCAATGGTAAGCGATATCTTTAAAAAAATATTTTTACTCGCAAAAATACTACTGCTTCAATAGAAATTGAAATCTTTTGTCTCCACTGTAATACATTGGTTTTTTCCACATGTTTTAGGGCAAAGCTCTGGAATATTAGTTGTGCAGGACTTCTGTCCTGGTAGATCAGACTCAAACCTCGCCAATTGCTTTTAAATTTTGGATACAGTACTGAAGTAAACATCCCATCTAAACATACACATGAGCTGTAACGTTAAATTAGAATTAGGAGACTTGGCTGTTAGAATAGATTTCCATTCTGGACTAGATCCAATTCTCTACTTGAAATTCCGTACCATAGACTAAGTAAATGTGTCAGTAACCATTCCATCTTGAGTTATCAGAGCAGCTGTCCCTTGCGTATCACCCTCAATATTATGTAGAATAATTCAGATTTAAGTTCAAATTCTATAAATAATGTGCTACCTACTAAAATCTTGTTATTTAGATTGTAATTGTGGGTTTCATTCTTTAAACTCAAGATGTCCAGGTACAATAAAAAAAACCATTACAAAGCAATATTTAACTTAAGTTCCAAATCCTTGAATTGAGAATAATCCAACAATAATAGGATAATAATAGGTTTATGGCTAGTTAATCATTAACATTTTGTTTTTGGCTAATTGTGTAATCATCTAGTTATATTAAGAGTAAATTGAGCTCACTTTTTTCTTCCTTCAGTTATAGTATAAAGTAATGAAATAAATTTGATTCTTTGTTTCAGGCAAACAGTGGTAAAGACACAAATGGTTGTCAGTTTTTCATAACGTGTGCAAAGTGTAATTTCCTTGATGGAAAACATGTTGTGTTTGGACGTGTAATTGATGGACTTCTTGTGATGCGAAAGATTGAAAATGTTCCGACAGGACCAAACAATAAACCTAAGATACCGGTTGTAATATCACAGTGTGGTCAAATGTAATATTATATTTTATATTTTTGTTGTGTTTGTTTACATAACCTATTCAATTCAGCCTTTTACATTTGTATTTAAGACTAGCTGTGTACCCGTTCTACGCACGGGGATCTTATAATATTCAGTTGAAACCTTCTTATATAAAGAACAGCAGTTGGTTTGCATATTTTAAGATATGCTGGCCAAACTATTATACATAGCTTCATTTTATGTTGTTTTTTGTTGTTCCGGATCGGTATGACAATCAATAAAAGGTTAAATTACCTCTGTGTCTGCCGGTCGATCCTATAACGGTAGGCTTACTTTTATTTTTACTATCTGATCTCGTTTGCATGGCTCAATCACGTCCTGGTTGAAGTTCGTTCGCTACGCTCACTCACCTGTATGTTGAAGTTCGTTCGCTACGCTCACTCACCTGTATGTTGGAGCTCGTTCGCTGCGCTCACTTTCCTTCAGGTTAGCTCGTTCGCTACGCTCACTTGCCTTCAGGTTAGCTCGTTCGCTACGCTCACTTGCCTCCAGGTTGCAAATTAGCTGTTGTCATAAATGTAAAAGAAATAATAGTGCTAGTGCTGCACCCTGTTGGTAATCCTTGTAACTTTAATGCTATTGAACATCACAGAACAGAACCAACTTGTTTAATTGAAACAGCTGTTAAGATTCAATAATTTCATTTCTCATAAGGTTAACATGGGCTTCCAGAAATTCCACGTCAAAAATCGACAAAAACTTGATTTTCAAGGGTTTACTGTTAAATATCTAACTGTCTCATATTCGATGAAATACGTCTAAAACCATCTCATATATGTATAGTATTTGGAAAATAAGTTTCAGGCGGGACAGTGCTATAGTTATTGAGGAGTAGTTGTAATAAAGTGCGTATTTTAGCGTTACCAAGAGAATGACAGATAGACAGACAGACAGACAGACAGACAGAAATTGAGATAAGGTTTGATTCGGTTTCTCTGACCTATGAAATGTAAAAATAACCAAAAAGTTCATTATTCTAAGCAATGTACAGACAAAACTCTAATTTTATTTATATAGATAATCTAAGTGAATTGTGGGGTCTGACTTAAGGGAGATACAAATGAGGCAACGATGACATCATAGTTTAGTTCAAAATTCCTCCGTTAACAGCATTGTAGTAGATAGCACAGCGCGTAATTTTTACTTCACTATTAGGCCTAGTTAATTATAAAATTAAGAAAAACTATAAAATGAAATTTAAAAATTTTTATTTATAAAATTCAACTGTCATAACCTAACCAAACCTGCTGATATGAAAAAAAATTGTTGACAAAAAGTTAGTGCTGCCAGCGGGATTCGAACCCGGCACCTTAAGCCAACACGCTATCCACTACACCACCGAGGCCGATGACTGAATTCCGTATCGATGCGGTAGCGGTAATGGTGTTCCCTCAAGAGGAGATTTGACAGCTGACGTCATCGAAGGCTCTTCTGTCCCTCACCGGTTTAACATGGCATGTGTAGATTATATGAATTATTCTGCTGACAAGTGATAGCTTACTTGTTGAAAAAATATAAGTTTATGAAAGTAAGTGGCATCACAGAGAAGTAAGAAACAGAGGATACATTCAATTGTAAACTTAAGTGGTGTCTGGACTGGAACCAATCACTGTTCAAGCTCTTTCTGGCAAGTTACAAGTACATTTCTACCCCAGGAGCCAAAACGCATGGGTGTTCCATAATATTGTATCCTCTGTATATCTCACTTCTCTGTGGTTGTATCTAGTTGAGTTTAGTTTCTATAATATTATCAGCTAGTCCTATACTGGCTTTCTACAGTAGATTTAAAAACCACGGCTCTCTTTTGTGCCCTGCCCTTACTGTAGAACATGGTTAAAGCAAAAGGGGGCACCAGGGACAGGGACTAGGAGAAATTGACTTGTCTATGCATTATACATGTAAAGGTGGCGAATAAATGTCATGTCTTAATGTCAATCTAGTCTGGCCACTCAAAATATACTTTCATGAAAGAACGTGGCCACAGCTGGGATTAAATGTAAACATATTTTTTGTTGAATTGAAATCGAATACACTTCCACTTCACTTTTTGGCTATTTTTATGGAAGCTACTGTTTACATAAACTGCATTGATTAGTTGATTCGATACATCAAGTTATGGTATATAAGCGTAATATATGTTGGGAAAATATTCAATGAGCCGAATAAAAGTCTTAATGCTAGGATTCTGCTAGTAACTTGCTAATAATTCATCTTACTGTATCTCTAAATACCCCCGTTGCAGAAAACCTGCATACTAAGTGAATTTCCATTTACCCGGCTTGATTTCTTCTAAAATATTCCCTATAAATTTTCATATTTATTTCCTATTTAAATAACATTAATTTTAGTGAGTAGTTAGGTTTGCTGCTACGGGGAAGATGTTGAGGTGTGTTTTTTCAATTGAAATATTGATAGCTTAAGCCCCCCACACACTACCAGACCAGACCTCCAGACCAGACCGTCTGGCTACAACCAGACCGTCTTGGACGGCTCTACACACTCCCAGACCAGACATTCCAATATTCGTCTTTGAGACACCGTGGTGAGAACTCCAACAACTGGATGAATATTGTCGCGACGGTCGGTCGTCTGACAGACAGCGCTACACGCTCACAGACCAGACAAAAATAGTGGTGGGGGAACCTCAGACCGTCTGTGGTCTGAGGGTCCAACCATCAGACACGCAGACAGTCTGGTCCGAGAAAATCGGTCTGCAGACAGCCCCACACACGATAAGACAAGTGCCAAACGCCAGACCAGACGGTCTGGTCTGGAGGTCTGGTCTGGTAGTGTGTGGGGGGCTTTAGTATGAAATAAACCAAATTGCCAAATTTGATTAAAATATATCCATAAACAAGCAAACTAAAACAGTTTATTTATTCTCCATAAGAATAACATGGGAATTTTAAATTTACAATTTTAATTTTCTCCGTAGTCAATGATTATTCAAAAACACTTCAATATACTAAATTATTTGTTTTTTTAAGATCTTGAAAATGGTCTAGAAAGAAATTTAGAAATTTAAATTTTTTAGGGTCAAAAATTAGAAAAACCCATTTTTATCCCATAAAACCCCCCATAAACCCCTGATCCGATTACGCTGGTTCGCGAACTCGTTCGAATAAATGTAGGTTAACACGTTTGTACCAAATTTCATCAAAATCGGATTAATTTTGCTCGAGTTATCGCGCTAACGGACATATATATATATGAATTTGAACGGATGGTGTTTTTGACCTCTGGGAACCTCAAAACGAAAAAGTAAATCGGTCCCGGGTCTAGGTCTTAACATGAGACCTACGGTAATAGCTTATTCCCTATATGGGAAATTTGCTAAAACCATAGACTCATGGCTGTTATCGTTTACTATATAACACAGTTAGGCTAATAGCATAGATAAAACCATATAAAACATTCCCGTTATTACAGCCATTCAAAACCTCGTTTAGCCAAATAATACGATCTAATCATAAACAATAACTCGTCCCCTAGTTATATAACCAAACAGTAAAGCACAAATCAAGAAATTAACTCTAAAATGATAGAAACAAAGTTTCGTCGACACTAGCGCCCATGTGTCACGTACATGAACTAGACACTTCACAATGGGATGAGAAGTCTACTTGTGTCGAGGCACAAGAATGAAAAAAACCATTTTGTTCTTCTTCTTAAACTCTTATAGAGACAAGAGACGAGACATCATAACTAACCTAACCTCAGTTTCAGTTAGTAGTTGTCAATAATAATAACTAATAATAAGATTACTACTTTACTTTCTCTATGTACGAAAACCAGATAGCAATTCAGGCTTAATATTAATAATAAATTTATAATATTTCAAATTTATTGTTTCTAACATCAGTATGGTTTTATCAAACTATTTGTTTTAAGATTAGCTTATATCAAGACGATGTAAGATCCTTGCTCTGAAACCAAAACTAGGACCATTTTTATATCACAAAGTTAAAGTGGAAGCGATTGCCTACCCTGTTATTGAACTTAGGTATGTATAATATCAATTCAATGAGATTTATTGCAGCCATTAACTTACGCATTACCATATAACAGGCCTAGGCTAGGCCTAACCCTTGAGTTGGTTAGTCTAGTCTATGACATTACACAACTATTCATAATGGGCGTTGTTACATTAGAACTGAAGTATGACTAGGCCTACAGTTAATTGAAAGGCTGCACTTTACTTGACGTCCTACACTCATTCGAATGAAAATATCGATCGATATATCGACTAATCGATTGCTTCATTCGATATATCGTTTGGTTAGTTAGGTAAGGTTAACCTAACCTAACTAACCAAACGATAAATCGAATGAAAATATCGAATCGAAAAAATTAATCGAATGAGTGTAGGACGTCAAGTAAAGTGCAGCCAATTGAAATATTAAGTTTTGCCTAAAATTGGAAAATTCCAAAACTTTTTTTGTGGGCAAATTAACCGATAGAGCTAGCTGAACAAGAAAATCCAAGAATTTTTGATCAAATGGATAGTGACAAAGATACGGCCGGAAAGCGTCGCAAAATCTAAACTTGGTTAGCGCCTAAATGACCAAAACTAGGTTGGGTTAGGTTAGGTTAGGTTATCAATAACATGGCTATTGTTAGTAACCTAACTTAAAACCCTTACTAACCTAACAAAACCCAACCTATTTTTTGTCATTTTTACGCTAACTCGATTTTCCGCCGTTTTTCCGGCCGTATCTCTGTTAATATTTGATCATGAAAATTCTTGTTCAACTTGTTTTTCCTGTTAATTTGAATACCAGCATAAACGGTTTACACGGATATCACTTTTCGTTTTCCAGCGCCTTTCCAGCCATATCTCCTTTAATATCCATCGTATCATCAAAGTTCTTAGATATTCTTGTTCAGCTCTATCTTACCAGTTAATTTGAGTAGGCCTACGCACAATGTTATTTTCGGGGGTTTTCCGATTGTCCGGGTAAACGGGTTGTTTCCGAGAAAAAACTACAACCATTTTTGAAATCAGTGTGAAATTTCAGGCATTTTGAAAAAAAATAATTCTAATTTCGGGTGAGGTTGGGAGGTTGATATAATTACCGATCTTCTCAAATTTTCTGGTCTTGACGCTTCTCAGGCTCTCCGGCAGCTTATTGAACAGCTTCCATTCTATGGTGGGGAAACGGCTTTTAAAGAGTGTTTGTTAGGCGGTATCTTGGTATATCTATCATGGTACAGTTACGTGTAGCATCGTGGTGGACATTACTTCCAGTAATGCTTATTTATACAGCAGCAAACGTAATAATTTTTTATTGGGTTAGTAAAACCTGAAATTGCGAGTCAAGACGCTTAGGTAGTAAGTAACCCTGAATTAACTTAGGCTTAATGTTTAAAACCATTCTTTAAAAAATAAATGACAAAAATACCGTACGTGCTTTTAAATAGGCTACACATAGTAAAAGCTGTATGCTTAGGCTTGTCTTGTAACAAAAATTGATGTTTCTGGTTCTACAGTTCCCAAATTTGTTTGTCCTTAGGATCTAATTATTATTACTTATCCCACACATTACTAGGAAGGATCCCTGGCCTTTTCTACAAAAGCGTAGCCATGTCAAGCGAGGCATTTAATTGGATAAGGTTTGTGCAGAGCATGGAGAAGACAGTGAAAAATAAAGCAGTCTCTACCAAAAGATTAGACATGCTGTAGGTTTATATTTAATGATATTGACATCTCAGGTACAAGCCGGTTATTTCATTTTATTGTGCATAGGAACTTTACGGATATACAAAATAAAGTTTAAAATAGCCTATAGGCTATACCTAGAGAAGAAACTGATGTTTAGGTATCCAATAAAATGACCGCTTTTAGTTAGTTACTATACAATATATAACTAATTAGACTACATTTCCAGATTGAAGAAAATGTTGTTAAATGAAGTTCAGACCTACTCCCTGACTCATTTGGCAACTGCCCCATTTTCATCAGCCGTATCGCTCGACCATTGTTTTGCCTTCCTGACAGAAAAGGGAATTGATGTTTTGGTAAGTATAATACATTTTAAATTCAATGTTACCGCTCAAAGTTTTAACTTGCACCTAAACAAAATATAGTTGGTCTAGAGTTTGGCTATTCCAAACTCAGCTATTCTGGAAATCTGCATAGGCCTATTTCAAACTATAAGTTTGGAAATTGTTTATTTTTTTAAATAGGCCTACCTTAAATTTTTTTTGCACGCTGCAACATTGCCATAACCTTGGCGAAACCATAACTGTCAAATCACGAACATATTCCGCAGTTAGGCAAAATTGAGAATATCTTGGTCACAGTGAAATATCTACCATGGTCGCAGATGAGACATCGTCGTTGTGGCAAAACCGTTTAAACATGATCAGAATATTTCAAAGTTTTTTACGATTCTTCTGCTCTCTGCTAACGTTAAAGTAGCTTGGCTCCTTCTGGCAAATTAAAAATCAAATCAACCCTAGTGGGTTGTATTGATAAAAAAATTCAAATTCAGTTAAAATTTATTTATAAAAAAAATTTTATTAGGCCTACATAGGTTTAGGCCTAATTCATTTTGAAATTCATTCAAATGGTTAAATATATTATACTCTGATCTGCGTGACACAGTGTTTCTATTTACCTATTTATATCAGACAACCTTAGATAGTTGCAAGATCAGGTTTGCACAATTAACTATGACATTAAAAGACAAAATAAATGGATTTAGAGTTTTCCCTCAGAATGTCTGTATACCACAGATTGTTTGTTAGATTTGTTTAGAATAATATCCTGGCCTTTTTTATTCCTATAACAGCCTTTTTATGAAAAAAAAAATCCTTTTTGCCGCTTTAAATTTGAAGATGATTTTGTCATAAGCATCGATGAAGTGGATCCAGAAGGTTTTTAAAAATATCCTGGTGAATAAGACCGTTTTATTATTTAAAAATCAAAATTAACCCCGTACACTGCTTGCCATGCCCTGTCTGCCTTTAAATCTTAGAATAGAGGGCAGTAATTTAGTCCTTAGAGTAACCGTACCGTAGTCAATTAAATCCAGCACTTAGCTTAAATTACAGTAAAGTTTACTTAACTAATTATTTTAACCAACAATAATTGCAATATAACAATGCAATTATTGTTTGCCTATATGTTATGTACAACAATTTTTATGTTAACAAGTGGGCTTTTTAATGGATGCACTGTATTTAATGAGTTCTATTCTGGTTTGTTGGCAGAGAAGGGCTGGCAAGACGGGGTTGTTGACTTGGGCCATCTGCCTTTTGCTGATATCTACTGTGGTGCCTGTATCTGCAGATGATGCTACTCAACAGATGTTTGGTGATTTTACCGATGGTTTACCTGCAGCATTCGGAGATTTCAACTCAGATGAAATAACTGATCTGTTTGTCATCCGAAACAACAGCAAAACTGTCGAGGTTTTGTTGGGGCAAGATAAAGAACCTGTGATGTACTCAGATGGAATCAAATGTTCATTCCCATATAATTACAAGATCACAAGTGTAACCCCAGGAGATTTTAATGGAGACGCTCTTATGGATGTTATGGTCACTTTGAACGTTGAAGGTGATAGTTTAAACCACATAGTAGTGCTATGGGGAGAAATGAAACGGTTGAATTGTACATATAAAACATTATTTAAAACAAATGGCCAGCCCCTTGCAATAGACTATGACAAAAATATGGTAATTGATTTGTTCGGAGTTGATGAAGATAACAACAGAGCGTTTTGGTTGTTTGATAAAAACAGTACAACACCGAGAAAAATTCCCATGAGAAACAACGAAACTCACGACTTTCAGGGGAAAATAAGAAAACCACACTCTCACGCTTTCCTGGATTTGAATGACGACGATCTGGCAGACCTTTATATCACAACAGAGGACAAGTTTGAAATTTGGAAAGGAAATAAGGATATTCCTGATGGGTTTACCCCTTGGCAAACGATCGATCTCCCTCCAGGCTTAAATAAAAACAAACAAGATGTGATCGGGCAAACTGTGTTTTTAGATATGGAACTGGAAGGCAAACTGGATCACATTGTCCCTGTGTGTGACAACATGAACTGTGACAACAGCAGAATCTTCGCTTACACTCAATCTGATAGGCAGTGGCACGATTTACATGTAAATTTCCATGAAGATGGAACAGCCAACAAATGGAAATTCGCTGTCAACACGAAACCTCAGAAACCATACACAGAAACAATAACTTTGCGAGCAGGTGACTTCAACATGGATGGCTATCCAGACGTGATGGTTACACTCAACCGAGCAAACTCGCAAGAGTACAAATCTTTTTTCTTGAAAAACGTTCCCTGCAAGACAGCTTGTACAGAGTTTTCTCGCACGTTTGAAGTGCAATGGAATACTTTAAGTCCTTACAACAATAATACAGTTCTTGGTGTTTTCTTCGATTTCCTACAAGACGGTGTTCTCGATTTAATATTCGTTCACTCTCAAGATAAGCCTACCATGTTCAATGTATCGGCCTACAGGAACACATTGGATTACGATGCCAATTTTGTGAAAGTCATGGTCGTCACAGGGCTGACTAATGTTGAACACCCGTTAAACCCCGGTCCTCTGAGGAAGTCTGCTGGAGTTTATGGTACAAACCTCCCCGGGCCTAAAGTCATGTACCAAACAACGACACAAGAAGGTGATCCACGCTCTGCTGTCGCTACTCAGATTCCACAATCGGCCCACTTCACCCTCAACCTTCCCTACACTATCTTCGGTCTCGGCCGGACGCCTAATTTCATCGATACTCTCACTGTTCAGGTCTATGGGAAGTCTCGTCAATGGACTCAACTCATTCCTAATTCCCAAATGGTTGTGATTCCTTGGCCGATAGAGGAGGTTTACAGCTGGAAAGTACAGTTGTTTGTCACTCCAAGTAAACTTATCTTCCAAAGTGTTTTAGCCCTCTTGGCCACATGTGTTTTCATTTCTTTGATAATTGCTGCTCTTTACTGGAAAGAACGGAAAGAGGATCATTTAGAGAAGTTGCAAGAAGCTCATAGGTTCCATTTTGATGCAATGTAAAGAAATAAATACAAATCATGGCAGAATATATTTATAAAGTATAGACCAAGTTTCTAAACTAATATATTGAAAATTAATTGGTTGTTATTGACTAAATAACATTAAAATGGGACAAAATTGCATTAGGGATGGTTGCATTAGCGATCATTAAATGGGGTTTTTATACACAACTCTCTAGTTTTAAAAATATACCAATAATATATGACATATTCTGACATTTATAACATCTTTGCTTAGAAAACTACAATTGCAAGGAGAATGTAATATGAATCATATCCAGAGACAAATTAATTTCATCAACAACTCTGAAACAAATCATATCGGTGACTCAAAATATAAACAACTGCTTACTTTTACCTCTTTGAATTAGATATAAAAATGTATTGGAGTTGGTAAAATAATTTATTTTCGGTAAATCCCCCGTATCATATTCTTCCCAGTAACAAACTATTTTCTTCATACATTAACTACAAACCTCTCCAGTTATCATTAGGGAAATCGACTGAATGAGGACTGGCTAATGATCAGTGCAGATTTGTTTACAAAGTATGTCAGATATGAATTTTTCATAAGATTAAAATTGTTATAATAATAATTGTTTATGCAATTTTATATACAATTGTGAAAGCTCTTTATGTTTTGGATTATAGTACATATTTTAAAATGCAAAGTTTTTTTTTTAAATCTGCATAGTATATTTGTTTAGTTTTAACTTGTTTTCTACGGCAAATTCACTGTTTATAACCCAACTGCTCTACTCTATTGGGTTTCAATTGGTGTGATTTATACATTTTACATGTTTTATATATCAATATGAAACCAAATCTCTATAGTTAGACTCATAAAAAATATTTCTTAGAATCTGTAAGATTGTATACTTACCTTAATTTTTCACTTATTTCAGGGTACACAGCTTCTTTAAAAACCTTGTGTTCCCAAACTAACTTAAGTAACTAGTGTGTAGATTCCACCAATCACTCTGAGCGTTGCCAAAAATTATGCAAAACAAAGGAACCTTCAAAGTTCCCTTAACATCTAGGGGTACAAGCTTCCCTTAGCTTACATTGCTATACCGAATTACTGTTAATTGTGTGCTGTTACCCTTCAACTACTTGATTGAATAGTCAACAGTATTCAGGATATTTGTTCAGTGGAAGGTAATAGAGATGAGTTGTAAAAAAGTACTGTTGTTACAGACTCTTCAAAGATCATGTAATATTCTGTACACTATTCCAAAGATGTAATGCCATGGTTTCCACATTAGTTTCATGATACAGTAGTGTGTTAAATGTGATGAATGAATTCGATTTTTTTATTTCATTTTATTTTTGTAAATCACCTTCTTATTGTGATGTAGTCTTAAGTGCTTTAGATAATTATATTTATTTATGTGATAATATAATAGTATGACTTGAATATAATAATAAAGCTGTAATGTTTCTCAAAAATAGTTAATTTTTATTTTCTCCCCCTATACCATAGTATATGGAGAAAGTATTGTTTTTGTAAAAATTTTCGAGTTTGAGTGGACATATCCGTTTTGGGTCCCCCTGGACCAAAAAAAGTGGTTTTCGAAGTTATGTCTGTGTGTCTGGATGTGTACAGAGCTAGGGACTACACCTGTGGTCCGATTTCGATGAAATTTGGTGTGTAGGTTCTAATCCATGGTATCTCCAGGGTTTTTATTTTCATTTTTTTGAAATTTGTATTTTTAATGTATTTTCCCATAAAACCCTATAAAATAACGGAAAATTCGGATTTTCTCAGAAATTGCCTGAACGATTTTGATAAAAGTTTAGTATGTTGTAGCCCTTTGAATTCTGAACAAAATGGTATGACTCATATTTCTGTAAAAATTACGGTTCAAAAGTTATTGTAAATTATGTTATTTTTCCCATAAAAACCCCATAAAATAACAAAAAATATGATTTAGAAAAAAAGCCGGTTTTGATTCAACTAAGTATGTTATGGTCCTTAAAATTTTGAAAGTTTTTTCACTTTTTTGAAATTTTGATTTTTAATGGGGATTTTCCCATAAAACCCCACAAGTAACGGAAAAATAAGATTTTCTCAAAAACGGCCCCAACAATTTTGATAACAATTTTGAATGTTATAGTCTTTAAATTCTGAACAGAATGGTACAAATCCCATTTCCGTAAACATTACAATTCAAAAGTTATTGTAAATTATGTTATTTTCCCATAAAATAAGAAAAAAATCTGATTTTTGGAGAAAAGCTGGCTTTGATCAAAATTAATACCTATGTTATGGTCCTTATAATTCTAAAAACAGTACAACACCCCATTGTAACAATTATGGCTCAAAAGTTATTGCAACTTTTGAGATTTTTAACTATAAAATATCATATTTACTCTCACCGCTTACCCATGATAAAGGTTGTTGACACGCTTATCGGAGAAAGTAGGTGTCAGAATGCTGATACCGTTTATTATTTTAGCCAAGCATTCTTTGAATACACAATTTTTAATTTAGACAATGCATCAAACATACATGTAGTCAATTTGAGAGGTTATCTTTACATGAAAAGTATTTTTGTCTTCTAATGTAGTTTCTTAATTAATCTTGCAATATGACGAATAATATAGTTCTTTAAACGGGCAAAAAGTGTTCTATCAACCCTCTCTCATTTTCTGGCCTCGGATGGAAAAGAGTAATTTTACACCCTAGTGATGAAATACAGTAGAACCTCTTTAATCCGAACGTCCACTAATCCGAACTCCTCATTGAACTGTACTCTACCTATACACCGTACAGTACGTAGTACTTTTTGAAACACTCTTGAATTTTTTGTCAGTTGGAACAGTTTAACCAGAACTTCTGTGGCAAAATCGAACTATATTTAAATTACATAAAATAAAATTAAAGAGGTGCGTAAACAAACCTTTGTGCACTTGCCTTTGCTTTCAAAATTAATGCACACTTAGTTTGTGTTAAATTTGAGTGCAAGTTGCTGGCTCTGGGCCATTACAATTTGCCAAGATGTCCACATTCATGAGCAATTTAAAATAATAGAAATAAGATGCAAATGGAATTTGATTGTTGCTGAAATTGGTGGAAGCAACATTAAAACCCCATCATATCAGTGATGAGTTGAAAACTGCTGTGCAAGACGTAAATAGAATGAGTTTGAAAAACAGGTTTTTTAACACAGTCAGTCTCTTTCCAAATCAACATCCAATCTAACAAGGAATTGTAATGTCCCAGTAAAAAAACAGTAAGCAATGTTTCTTTTACTACCTGTATGTCCACTAAAATGAGGCATTCTCACGCATAGTGTCGGACGTCAGTAGAAATCAATCTTTTAAAACAAGGATGATCTACAAAATTATTAATAGATAAGGTCAACCATATTGTAAGTTTAAGTTCAGGTACTGTTGAACCAATCACACCTCCATTAAAAAGATTCCATAACATCTAGGGCACAAGCTTCCCTTAGCTTAACAAGGAAAAAATAATACACAGGACCACTTTTCTGTGAGTCAAATATATTTTAGTAGCTATGAAATGAAAACTAAGTAAAAAATCCTTCTAAGACGTTAGAAAAGCATTCATCTTAGAGAACTAGACACCAAGGTACTTACTCATGGATATAGACCAATGAGAATTGATGCAATCATAAATAACTAAAGAAAACAATAGGAGCTGTTTAATTTGTCATTTGGTTGACATATTTTGTAGTGTAACTGTGTCTTTCTAAATTCAGTTAAATATAACAAGTCAGAAAGCCACACAATTGTCAAACACCAAATACACAAAGTACCCCTGCTGCAGCAAACCTGCAGACTAAGCGAATTTCCATTTTCCTGATTAGTAAAATGTGTCCTTAAAAATATCACATCTAAGGTTTTAAGTTTAAGAATAACATCAGAAGTTTAAATTTACAATTTTTTCTAAATTTTCTCTGTAACTATTAGGCACGTAATAACGCTTCAGTATACTAAACTATTTTTTTTTTAAAGCTCTAAGAAATGGTTTGGAAAGAAATTGCTAAATTTTTTTGTTTTTTGGGTAAAAAATGGGAAAAACCAATTTTTACCCCATAAACCCACGTTCCCATAGTCCGATCATAAAGCCTGATCATGGTTCGAATAAATGTAGATTTACACGTTTATACCAAATTTCATCAAAATCGGATAATTTTTGCTCAAGTTATCTTGCTAACGGACACAGACATATATATATATGAATTTGAACGGATGGTGTTTTTTCCTCTAGGGACCTCAAAACGAAAAAGTAAATCGGCCCCGGGTCCAGGTCTTACCTGGTAGCCAATGATTTATCATCTTACTATCGCAAAGTTTTTACCTAGGGGGATTAAACCTATACAAATTGGTAAAAAAATCTTGTTCATATATTTCTTAATATGGTCCTTCCTTAATATTCAAAGGAGTTGGCTCCTGATCCAAGGAGTGGATCCCCTAGTCTTGGCTGTCGTCGCTACTTCATAAAACCTCCAAGCAGTCTGCCAACATCAGCCTTGGGCATCAACCCCAGCGACCTCCTGCCTCATCTGGATAAGGACGATGCCTACGCGCTGATCACTGATGTCACCATGAGTCCTAAACTGGTGCGAACTTTGACGCCCACTCCCACGCCTTGCGCCATCCAGTGGTCACCTCGAGGCATCCTCCTTAACCAACGGTGAGTGGTCTGAATTGTAATTAGACATTATAGTGCATAAGGTTTCTATGAGTAACTATTGGGAAATAATAGTTAGAAAGCAAACATATCAATCAATCAATCAATAGATCCCCATTCTACCGAAAAAGTATGATTTTTAAACAAGGAAATAAAGACTGGGACAGGTGGCGTCGTCCTGTGATCCAGCTACTAGGAGGTCACAAATTGTGGATGTTTATAGGCATGCACTGTGGATGCGATACTCCCTGGTGTGGATTAACGTCCGCACTAGTGAGTACTATGACTATACGTAGCAGCCTACTATCCTGATAATTTACCAATTTGTAAGCTATGAGGCCAAAAGTGGTTCGAATTCCACTAAACTGTAGGTCCCTTAGTTGTCATTGGCTGTATGGGCTATTTATTAACAGTCCTGTCTAAGGAACATGTCGGCCTTATTCAGTAACAAGATTTTGAGACTGCTCCACTCATCGTACACTCATATCCATTCATAATTGGCTTAAAATACCTACCTACCCAATTCAATGAAAAGTATATCAGAGTAAAACAACCAATGTTTTTGTCAGCTGACATCATTGTGTCTTGTTTTATTTATGCAAATGTGTCACTCTACTTTACTGGGACAGATAAAAATTTTTAAATTGGCTACTGTATCATCAATATTACATAATTTTTTAGGTGCCTACTGTCAGTATTGACTGACATGGGAGGTTTGGAGTTGTACAATGTCAGTAACAAGACAGCAGACATCAGCTCTCTATGGCTGCAACACTGTCAGAAGGATTGGGATCCAGTCAAAATTTCCCCAAACTCTGTCAGTGAGATACTTAAGCTGCTACGTACCAGGGCAGAAATGGTCAAGATCACAGGTTAGTCCTTTGCCTTTTTTGTAGAACAGTTTAGCTCGACCAGTCAATCAAGTTGTTTTTGAATGACTGAATGAAAAACACACAACTCTAAGTTCTTCAATTGCAATAATAAAGCTTGAATCTTTGTCGTAGGAAACTTTGTGTAAAAGTTTTTACATCTGTCAATAACTTGTTCAACTTTGATTTTGTACTTTTTAAAAACCAATTATGATCTTATAGGCACTGAGTTTTCTTTACCAAATTTGACTGCACACTTGCCTGCACTTGACCCTAGTATCATTAGTTGGTTCAGAAAAAAAAACACTGCGAAATTCAGCAGCTAGGAAAATTTGCCTATAGAAAGGTAAATATTACAAAAGGCAGTTTGAATGCAGTTTTGATTTGACTAAAAAAATCTTAAAATTTGTAAGATGTATCAAATACAAAAATCCTAAACAACCTATATCTACAACAAACAATTCTACAATATCTACAACAAGTAATGACGATAAGTGTGGAAATGAATTTTGGATTTTTCTAACCTATAGTATGGATATTTTTACGTCATTAAAATAACAAGTGTTTACAATAACTAATTCTATAAGGATGTTCATTAACAACATTGATTTTTGTAATTTAAAAATAATTGTAGCTATGTGCTGGCTTGGTGAGGGAGGCAGGTTTGCCACTGTTTCCAAGAGTGGGTTGGTAACACTGTGGATAGTAAGAGCCAGTGATGCCACTACACAGGAACTAGACGTTACTTTAACGGCCAAGTTCGACTGTGGACTGCGAAACGCGACTGTCCTTTTTTGGAATCGTCTGTCATCACAATCATGTGAGTGTTATTTTATTGTAGATTAAAAAACCTCAGAAATCATATTTTCTTGTTATATCCGAGGTTTTCAAAACCAATAAGATTATCAATAATTGTCAAA